AAAAACCGCGAAACTAGACACGATTTATCACAGTTTGAGGATGGGTTTCAAGAGAGTGACATCCAATTATTTACTGTGTGTAGGTAAGTAAACTTCCTCCCAAAGTTTGTTTTATACAATTCTATCATTATACTGACGCATAGTAGTGTCGTACAGCGCTGGTCTTTTTTGCACATCTACTATGATTTTTGAAGATAAATTTTCATAATCTGGCTCGTTTCCATCGTTGGCAGAAATCCATTGTGTTCCGGAGGTTAAACAGGAGAACTTGACTGTCGTAGTTCAGCAACTGGGAAACATCATAAAAAGTCCTGTGGTTGAATCTGACATTCATTACTGCACACGTGTAGCAAAAATCGATTCGAAGAACACGCGTCCCAGAACTATATTGGTTAAATTTTGTAATCAAAAGCGTCGAGATGAATTTCTAAAATCAGCTTTTGAATTTAATAAGAAGAAGAAAGGCAGCGATCGTTTAAACACCTCTCATCTAGGTATAGCCGGGGGAAAAACGGCGGTTTATGTGTCCGAACACCTGACATATGAGAACAAGCAATTACATGCCGCAGCACGTATCCGTGCGAGGGAACTGGGGTTCAAGTTTATTTGGGTTCGTAATGGAAGAGTGTATGCTAGGAAGACAGAAGAGGCCGACCACATTCACGTGCGTAATATGGACATGGTTAAGAATTTAGCTTAACTTGTTTTGTATCATCACTTCTTGGTGTTTCTTTTATTATAAAGATGGTTAATTATTTAAGTAAAGTGAAGATACATAGATTTAAGTTAGGATTGTTGAATGTTCGGTCTATTAATACTGGTTGGGACGAACTAAGAGACTCTGTTACCAGTAATGATCTCGATATGCTCTGCCTTACTGAAACTTGGCTCAGATGTGACTCGGATACCAGACCACTCACTATTCCAGGTTATACATTTTTTCACGAGCCGCGTCGCAGTAGGGGTGGTGGCGTCGGTGCTTACATTCGATGTAAACTGCATGCTCGAGTTCTTCAGCATCCAGTTGGCGATTTGGAGCAACAATGGCTCAAGTTGAAACTCAAACACAGCACAATAATTGTAGGAATTAGTTATCGACCGGAAGCGATCAGTCGTGGGACTGCTGTTGAATGTTTGAATAATTCTCTAGAGCTGTTTTCTCCACAGTGTGATTTCTTATTTTTGGTGGAAGACCTTAATATCAATTTTTTAGACGAGAATAGTCATATTTATCTGCCTCATTGCCTAGCCAATCTCACTGACCCTTATACAAGTTGTTAATTTGCCGACTCGTATAACGGACAAGTCTGAAAGCCTGATTGATCTAATTTTTTCTCGTGATCAACTGAAACCAATTAATATATCAGTAATACATAACGATGACTTGAGCGACCATGGTATGGTCTTGGCGGAATACCCAATAAAGCCAGAGAAATTTCACCCTAGGTATGTCACTAGTAGACCTATACGAGACAACGCTAAAGTGATATCTGAAGCAGCTATGTATACACCATGGGAATTTGTATCTTTGTATAGCGATGTCAACGATATGGTATTGGTCTTTAATGCCCTCATTATTGATTTGTTTGAAACATTTGCACCAATTCGTAAGCGTAAAATTAAAAATCCTCCCTGTCCTTGGTTGACGGAAACTCTTTTGCAAATAAGAAAGACTCGCGATCGTGCTTGTCAAAAGGCAAAGGTAATCAAGTCGGATTCGGCTAAGCAGTTCTATCGGGATCTACGTAATCAGTAAAATTGCGCTATTAAACGGGAAAAGCAAGCATATTTTACTCAGTTTGTTAATAACAATAGGAACAAGCCTGCGAGTATGTGGCGCCATCTTAAGAATATCGTTAAGCCTAAACAAGCGAGTGTGATCCCGTTATCCCTTCGTGATCCAGAAACACTAAACAAATATTTTATTGATAGTATACCTGCGCTACCTACAGACGTAGATGAGTTAAATAAGATCAGGTCCAGCAAATGCACTGATCAAGTCTTTAAATTTCAAATTGTTACTGAATCAACAATCGAACATATTATTAATAAAAAATGTACAGAATCGCAGGGAGATGATGGCATTTCGATGTATATGATACAATTGACATTGCCTTATTCGTTGCCCGCTTTGCTGACCTTCATAAATAAATCATTACAGGACGGTACTTTTGCCGAGGTTTGGAAATGCGCTTTAATAACTCCAATTTCAAAAAGGTCAAAGATTGAAAACTCTGGTGACCTGAGGCCAATTAATATATTACCAGCCCTATCGAAAATAGTTGAAAAGTGCGTTCAAATTCAAGTTAATGAGTTTATTAATACTGCAAAGATATTACCTCTCTTGCAATCGGGATTTCGCCCTAACCACAGCACCACTACAGCACTGCTTAATATAACTGATGATATATTATCTGCTTCCGATCAGGGGTTAGGTACGGTCTTGGTGTTGCTGGACTTTACTCGCGCATTTGACTGTGTAAATCTGGAACTTTTAATGGCTAAACTAAAGCACTTTGGTTTTGATGATACGGTTTGTAACTGGTTTAGCTCATACTTTTCGGGTCGTTCTCAAAAAGTTCAATGTTTGAAAGACGACGGCAGTTTTGACGTTTCAGAACCTTTAGCTATAACCAAAGGCGTAGTACAGGGCTCTATTTTGGGTCCTACACTCTATTCTCTATACTCAGCCAGTATTACAGAGGTAATTGCTCACTGTCGTTACCACCTCTATGCAGACGATACACAGCTCTATGTTCATACCAGTCCAACGGACATGTTGCCTGCCGTGTCTGGATTAAATAGGGATCTGTGCGCTATATTAGAGTGGTCTCGGAAGCATTCTTTAGTTCTCAATCCTTCAAAGAGCACGTCAATCACATTTGGTACTCGACAAAAAGTAACATCAATGAAGCAAAATGATATGATTATTTGTATTTATGATGTGCCAATGCCAATACCACGAGAAGATTGTGTATGTAATCTTGGTCTCTATATGGACGAACATCTCAGATTTGAAAATCATGTTAAACGAAAGGTTGCATTGTGCTTTGGATTATTACAGACTTTATATAAGCTACGTAGCTTTTTATGTAATCCTGTTAAGCAACAATTATGTAATAGTCTAATATTGTCACACTTGCATTATTGCGATATTGTGTATGGCCCTTGCCTTTATAAAAAGACCAAAAATCAAATACAATGGATCCAGAACGCTTGCATGCGATTTTGCTTCCCTATACAGAGTAGAGCTCATATCAACCCTCATTTAGTGCAAAATAAAATTCTGAATATGGGTGGACTCCGGAATTTAAAGTATGCCTGTTTTTTACTGTCATTATTCAAAACAACCTTACCACTATATTTACATAAAAAACTTCAATGGAAGAAACGTCGTTCAAATTTGAGAGACCTTGGGCTTTGGCCTATCACTACCAAAATGCAAAAATATTGTAACTAGGGGTTGCTTTGTATATGCCGCATCAAAGATATGGAATGATCTCCCACCACCTTTGCGGACTAACATTTCAATGTCAACATATAATTTTAAAAATAAATGTAAATTGTAGTTATTACATAAACAGTCAAAACTGTATTTAATTTAGATATTTAATAATAGTTGTATTAATATTTTTTAATCGATTTTCAAAGTTTTACTTGTTGGTATCACAAAATGGAGCATGTTTTAGTTAAATAAGGTTGTGGCAGAATATCAGCGACTTCCGATAAAACGGCGGTTTAAGGCTGAGTCACATTCCCTTTTTTGTTCCCAAAAAGTTGATATGTTAGATTTTAAGTTTTTGTATTTGTAATTATGTATTTTTGGAGCAAATAAATACTTATTATTATTCTAAAGAAAATATAACTAGAAAAAATTCCACACGGACCAGGCAGCAGACGGGACTCGAACCCGCACCCTTCGCAATCCGGGCGAATGCACTGACCAATTATGCTACCGCGGCCCTCACGGACCGCGTTGAAATTCTTTCTAGCTATTCTTAAGCTGCAAGGCAGCGCCATCTCTTCGCATTATAGGTAAACCCACAATGTCAAATGAATACTTTTACAAGTATTAAACATTTGAAAGAAGAAATAGCAATTATAGTTATAATTTTTATTATTTTTAAAGCATGTAACTGCTTGATGTTTAAATCTAAAGAAAATATAACTAGAAAAAATTCCACACGGACCAGGCAGCAGACGGGACTCGAACCCGCACCCTTCGCAATCCGGGCGAATGCACTGACCAATTATGCTACCGCGGCCCTCACGGACCGCGTTGAAATTCTTTCTAGCTATTCTTAAGCTGCAAGGCAGCGCCATCTCTTCGCATTATAGGTAAACCCACAATGTCAAATGAATACTTTTACAAGTATTAAACATTTGAAAGAAGAAATAGCAATTATAGTTATAATTTTTATTATTTTTAAAGCATGTAATTATATGTTATATTTTCTTTAGATTTAAACATCAAGCAGTTACATGCTTTAAAAATAATAAAAATTATAACTATAATTGCTATTTCTTCTTTCAAATGTTTAATACTTGTAAAAGTATTCATTTGACATTGTGGGTTTGTTTACCTATAATGCGAAGAGATGGCGCTGCCTTGCAGCTTAAGAATAGCTAGAAAGAATTTCAACGCGGTCCGTGAGGGCCGCGGTAGCATAATTGGTCAGTGCATTCGCCCGGATTGCGAAGGGTGCGGGTTCGAGTCCCGTCTGCTGCCTGGTCCGTGTGGAATTTTTTCTAGTTATATTTTCTTTAGATTTAAACATCAAGCAGTTACATGCTTTAAAAATAATAAAAATTATAACTTATTATTATTATTATTATGCTCTCCGTTGCACTTTTTACAACGTTTTGTAGAGCGACATTTTTCATTATGTTGGAATAGGAAGTTTTGACAAAGTTGGCATTTCACAATCGTTCTCATTTTTGTTTCTGCTGAAAGGTTAAGGAACTTGTGACATCTTGATCTTGTTTGCACAATGGACACTTGATATTAGGGGTATAGATCGGAGCTGCCTTATAGGATGAATAAAATCTTGATTGTTTGTTGTTCCATTTTGTTATAGGTTTTTGATAACCTTGATGGTGCTGATTATGACGAGTAGGTGCAGGAAGTACCTCTCTATCCTTTCTTTCCCTATTTATTGGCTCCAAAGTAATAAATTTGGTTTCTAAAAGGTCATGAATTCTTCGAGTGTAGGCAAGTCTCTCGGAGACTTACGAGATTCCTTGTAGTCACTGTAGGTGACTGAATCCAACTTCTTTGCTAATAAATGAACTAACAGAGGATGCCATGTATTCGTATCGATACCTAAGTTATGAATCGCGTGAATGCACTCAGTACATGTATCGTATAATTCCTTTAATTCAATGGAAGTTTGCTTATGGACATTAGGCTGATTCAAAAAAGTCTCAATTTGCATTGTAAATAAAACCTGCGGGTTATTATAACGATGTGTCATTAATTCCCAGGCTGCGTCATAATTCTCAGGCGTAACATTAAGATGTTGAATTATCCGCTCGGCATCCTCTTTTACTTTACATTTTAAATGTTGCATTTTTTGAGTTTTCGATAATGTATTACTATTATGAATTGTCTCAGTAAATAAATCAAAAAATGTAGGCCACGACTATATTTGCCCGTAAATGTTGGGATATCAATAACAGGCGTGGTTTGTTGAGTGAGGGTTGTATTTGATATTTTTTTATTAAGCGAACGTTTCAGTTGCTTAAAATTCTTTTCATATGAAATAAATTCCGGCTCGTACACGGTATCCTCCCCTTGCAGGAGGTTATCAATTTGCAAATGCATGTTATCAATGCTATTCCATTTTAATTGTAAATTACGCAATTCGTCTTCTAACTCCCACTTTTCGGATATTTCGCTTGGAATGATACTCTGCACTAACCTATTAAATGCTCGAAAATTTGTACGCTGTTGGCTTAACAATTCATTCACCTTTCCGTCCTGAATAGCCTTGTCAACTTATGCTTTTTCTCCGTTTTATATGACGATATAGTATGACGTAAATTTATGTAAAAATCTTTTGCTTGATCAAATGTATTTTCCAAAAAATATTGTTGCTCTTTATTCTCATATAACTGTAATTGCTCATTATTCATACTGAACTCTCCCCAGAGACTATCTAAAGCGGTTAAACGTTTCATCAGATAATCCGAAGTTTTGCGACTCGAAGCGTCCTTGCTAAAGTTGCTTTTGATCTGCTTCATCTGCTCCTGGATTTCTGACTGACGCTGAATGAGAGATTCCATGATTAATTGAAATAAAAGGAACAATCTTACTTGAAATGCCGTTGATGTACTTAGATGCTGCTAACTGCTCTCCTCAGGAACTGCTGTCAATCTTACTACTCAGTGTGATCCTAGTTGGGATCGAGCGAGACTGACGACGACGATGTAGATTGCTCAAATACTGCTGATGCTTGATTGGTTGCTGTTCAGTTCGTTGCGAGGTGAAACGCGACGAAGTTAATCACTTGTACAACTTTGTCCACGTAACAAATTTTTAGGGTACCGCACTTTGACTCACAAACTGTCCAAAGACACGAAACCGAAACTTGATCCCGCAACGATTGCTCGAAGGACCAAAAATGTGGGGGTTGCTTCCCACACTTGAATACTTGCTAAGGGTAAGGTTACTCCAAGGAGTGCTAAATAAAACCGAACCGTTTGAATGTTGTAAAAACACTAATTTATTTCAGTAACTAATTGTGCAAAGGCAAATACAATTGATGAGTATGCTTAAAGTAATGTGGGTCAATTTGAAATTATTATAATGTTGATTAAGTAGGTATGTACAGCACGTACATTTTGTGTAAGCCTATATATAATACTCATTTACTATATCTGATTCCTTTAGTAGATCAATATTAAAATCACCAGTTATAATGATTTTCCTGAGAATACATACGGCCTACTATTAGGTATTCTATAAATACAATTACAATAGTCTTGTATTCTGGTATATCAATGCCACATATTTCATGATTAACTCCTTACTTTGTAAGTAATTACGGTACACGAAGGCATATTTTAAGCGATAATCACAATACTCTCTCACTGAGCGTTCGCGGGCAACTTAACGACGCGATCGGACGTTACGGTTAAGTTATGATCATTTGCTCATGACTGTGACGCGCCTGCCCCGCCCACAAGACCATTCTAACCTCTTTCTGTGTTCTGTGCTTCAAACCGTCAAACACTATATATCTCAGAAAAAAATCTGGCAACCCTTTTTACCACTCATAACTATGTATAGCTAGGTACGAAAACGTAAGTATCCATTTTAATGGTTTGTTTACATTTTGTCTCAAGCCAAAGCGAATAGTTTTGTACATATATAGTTATGTAGGTTCTGGTAGTTAAAATATGAAAATTAAAAAAAAAACTGTATTGTTTTTTTTCTATATGGCTTCGCACGGCTTGTGCATTTAGCCAATGTCAAGGGTTAAATGTATACAAATACTATAGCACTCGTGGTCAAAGTAATAAGTCAAGTCAAAGTAAGTGGCAGTCAAGTCAATCCCCCTTTCCCCATGTTTCAGTTAAAGTGTGGGGTTTTACTGGAACCTCCCCGTGAACTTCTTGAGGGAACGTCGAAAGACACTTTCCGCTATTTTCTTTCACTTGCCAACACTTGTGCATGTTCCCGAACATTTAGTAGTTAATAATCCACTATTATTAGACACTAACATCCGCCACAACACAATTTTTAACAACAAAAACAAGACTGCTAAAGTGACGCTTCCTGATCCCGCCAAAAAGTCCTGTATTGTATTGTTTTTAAAATTGTTTCTTTTTACTTTTTTTTTAAGATCCTTTTTATGGAAGGCAAAGGGAACACTGCCCATACAGCCTAGTCTTCAGTTGATTTCTTTTTTTTACATATAAGAATGTCGGTGTGAAGCATTCTAATGTTCCTTGGAGTGTTTGACACGAAATGTATCGAGTTGGCTTTTTCGATAAGCTTCTGGGAGGTAGTTAACACTACAATAAAGTTCTCACGTCCACTTGACCAGAGAAGCGTGTATTTTAAAGATTCCACTAATTCTTCAGTTGCGAAGACGGTTGTAACACAAAATCACACCAATTTTATTTCACTATATCCACAATGAACGAATTTAAGAATAATGAAAAAAAGACGCCAACCGTCCTCGATAAAATCCCGCCAAGAACCCTTTTTACTTTTTTCATTCTACGGTTGCTTTGACAATACTGTCACCATCATTGCCCACACGTTTATCCTCTTTTACCACATCATAGTTGACAGTGTTGTTTTCCTATACTCTTCTTTAAACTGTTCATTTTCTTAAAAGATTAAATTATTAAAACTTACAATATACTTAGATTTCTTTTTAAACGAATTTTCTTTAACTCAATACAATTTTCTTTTATTCAAAGTACAAGATGCGGATTCAACAGTTCGCCACGAATATTGGAATAACGGAATTGAGAAAATATGAATTGAAAAATTGCGAAGTTGTTATTGATGGTCAAAACTTTCTATATAATATTTACGAGATGAGTGGTTTACCGTTTGAATTCGGATGCGAAAGTGATAAATACGCAGAACACCTACGAAAAAAACTAAGCGTTTTTATAAACGCAAACGTGAAATGCTATTTTTTTTTCAAAGGTGGCCATAGTGATATGAATAAGAAAAAGAAAAAACAAACTGAAAAAGCAATTCTCTCACAGGATCCCAATTCATCGACAAATTTTATATTGCCAATATTTATGAAGGAGATATACAAACAAGTACTTGATGAAATGAATTTCAACTACGTCGTTTGTGAATTTGAATGTAAGAAAGATTGTATTGCTCTGGCTCAAAAGCTGAATTGCCCTATCATTAGCTATGACATTGAATTTTGTTTTGCGGGAGTTCCTTACATACCTATTGCTCGTGATAAAAATATTGTAAACGATAAAAGCACGGGTGGCATTCCCTGTGGCTTATTTGTTTACGAAGATTTTACAAAGAAATACAATTTAGACAAGGAAAAGCTGGCGATCTTCATCGTTTTAAGCGATGAGAACATTTTTCCAGAAGGCCATTTTAAATCATTCTTTGATACGGTAAATATTAGAGGTAATCCTTACAGGAGAAACGCTAATTTATTAAATTGGCTCTCAAAGAAAGCAAATTATAACACTATAGATTCTATTATGCGAAAATGTTTGCGAGCAGACGAATACGATACCTACAGGAGAGAGAGAAATAAGATGATCGGGTTCATCTGCAAAGAAGAGAAAGCAGGGGTGCCCGTTGATTATTTGTTGCACGGTAACTACGTCGAATTTACTGATAATGACCCGTTATGGTTTGAAAAGGGAGTCGTTTGCGGTTACATTCCATTGCAGTATGTTAATATGTACCACTGGAATATTATTGATGGATCATGGTGCTTAGAAGATGAGGACGCAGAAGATGCTATGTTTATTTCACTCGATATTATCAAATATGCTTTTAATCTTCTCACCAATTACGAAAGAAAAGAAATAAATTTTCATAATAAAAAAGATGAAGTCGTTACCATCAGCGTTACTGATGCGACGGCCCTCCCGAAGCCGACGTATACAGCTATTCAGAGTCCCTTTGAAAACGGATGGGATCTTATTAAAGCTTTGGGATTATTTGAACATTTTCTTGAAAAATGTATGCCGGAGACCAACTTTAGTGTACTGAATACCGTACCAGAGAACGCTAGACTGTTGCTTATAGCTTTAATATTTTTCTCACGTCATAAAACTGAGGATACCACCGTTGAAGTATCTAGCGTACTGTTATCGTATGTGATGTTGAGCGTCGTGAAAGACAAATCTAATAACAACAACCATATGAACGAAAGAGTGTCACGGACTTTCATTGAGCCATTCATTGATAAGAATCTGGTCACAGATGTTGACTGTAATATAGCTACAGACAGATTCGTTAAATATTTTACAGTATCAAATATTGAAAAGGCACAATTTGATAAAGAAATACTTCATCCTTTAGTTGAGTTTCAACATTGCCTTCAACAGATGAATTTTTTGAACAAACTATGCGGATCTCCTTTCGAAGCGACGATGTATAGTTGCACATACAATGGTACATTAGTGTACAAAATTGCTCATACAATGAAAGACACATATTTTGGTAAAGCTATGGATTTTACAGAGAACGAACTATCTTCCGCTGTAACGGTTTTAGGGTTTTTCAACGGCCTCAGAAATGCTTATGATGAAATTATGTATCGGTAAATAATACAATCTTTCAAAAATCTGCTGTTGATATTTCTAATGTTGTTGTATTTCTACTTTATCAACAACTTTTCGATTACGCATTTCAAACCAGTCAATGTAACTTTAGTTAATAACTTTTATTTACTGTTATTTCTTATATTTATAGTAATAATAATAATTTCTTTCTTTCCAAATTCTCTTATTTACTAGTATTTTATTTGGAATCAAAAATTCGTCTTACCGTATTTATTATACCATAGTTATTTCATTTGAATATCTAATCTATTACAAAACCAAAAATTAAATAGAAATAAAAAAGGAAAATTGTTCACACATGATTACTCCGATGACATGTGAAAGTGTCAAAACAAATGATAACAATGAATTACAACAACAGAGAATGGAAATGAATCTAAAATGTTGACGAGAAGCAAAACAGCACGTTTGAGACCACCAGACTCGTCACATTGCTCCGCCTCGCAGTTATCAGCAACAGTCACAGTACCGAGTACCCTTCGGCTGACACCTACAGTTGCGTCGAGCGATAGTGACGAGTACTTCTCCCCTCCGGCGACGCCACCACCAGTTCGTCGAAGAAGAGGCCGGCCAGCGAAGGGTTCGGTGCTTGTGGGGCAATCAGCTCCGGTCAGGGCCCCCGCTCCCGGTGGAGTGCACCGCATGCGATGAACAATTTCCATAAACGAAAGTGTCATGCGTGCATATTTTAAGGCAACAGAGACGGGAACCAATCTTACTGCGTACCGTGCTCGGGTGCTTTCTCTGTTTCAGGCCCTTGAACCAACCGTCAACGTTTCGACTCAACGATTATCGGATCAGGTGCGGGCCATTCAACGGGGTCACTTCTTACTTGTTGGATGACTCTACACTTGATCGGCTCCGTACAGGTACAAAGTAATCACATCATTTCTATTGCATCGCAGGTGGCAAATCTATCTTCGTCGATAACAGCATTACAAGCTGACGTTGCTGATAGTGATGATAGAGATGATGTGATTACTACTGTAAGTTCCCAACACAATGCTGTATTGAGGAGTACTTTCGAGGATGTAGTTCGGGAATTTCGATCCACTCCGTTGCGTCTTCGACTTCCACGTTTCCCTATGCACAAAAAAAATAGGGCGCTGTGTGCTTTAGATTCGCTATTATCCTCGCTGATACTCATTCAATCTTGTACTGTGCGGCTGTTACGGCTTGTCGTGTGGCGCATGTCAAATTCCCAAATACTGACATAGCAACACGCCCTAGACAGGCTGCACCAGCCTGGCAGTGCAGGATTGAGAGCCGTATTAGCGAGGCTAGGGTACTCATCGGTAAGCTCAGCTGTTTCAGGGAGGGCAATACCCGCCCTAGGGTTATGCGCTTTGTGAGGCGTGCATTCTCGGGAACTGGTATTAGTCCCGAGAATTATAGTATCACAGAACGCATTGACTTTCTTTTTCTTTTGTGCATGAGCTAATCGTATTCGGAGGTATAAGTTACGAGTGAGTCGTTTTACTCAGAACCGCATGTTCGAAAGAGTTCAACGTTGTGTTTCTTGATCCTGGAAGCGATCGAATCAAAGTGATATTGATATGCATCGACCGGATGATGAGGCCATGATTTCTTTCTGGCGCAACATCTGGTCCGTGCCTGTCACTCATTCTGATGGCGCGTGGATGAGGGATGTTGAGCAATCGTGCGAGCTTTTACCTGAAATGAACGATGTAACCATTGACTATGAAGACGTAGTTTGTGCAGTTCGTGCCTTACCCAACTGGAAATCGCCAGGCCTGGACGGACTGCACAATTTCTGGTTTAAATGATTACCAAGCTCACACGTTTGCTTAGCATCTCAATTCCAGCTTGATTTATCATCTCGGTCGCTTCTAGAATTTATGACAACAGGCATAACCCATCTGCTCCATAAATATGCAAGTACTACTAAAAAATTATAGACCAATCACTTGTCTGCCAACAATTTATAAAATTCAGATCTAAGATTAGTAAACATATTGATCAAAATTCTATCATGTTCGCCTCTCAAAATGGATGTAGGAATGGGGCCCGTGGTACTACATTGACATGGCTATTAATCAACTGGTCCGCCGTAACCGAAAGACTGTCGACTTCCTGGATAGATTACAATAAAGCGTATGATTCCGTACCGCATTCATGGCTCATGAGGGTGCTTGAGCTGTATAAAATAAATGCAACTCTACGCACTTTCTTGATGTCATGTATGCGATAGTGGAGAACGGTCCTATTCTATCCAGAATCTCGACGGACTCTGGGTAACGGCGATCCTTTAAAAATAGAGCGAGGCATCTTCTAGGGAGACGGTCTGAGTCCATTATGGTTTTGCCTGGCCTTGAACCCTCTGAGTACACTACTCGAGGGTTCAGATTTAGGCTATCGTTTACGGAGAAATGGTCAAGTAAACACCTGCTTTACATGGATGACCTGAAACTTTTTGCCCACAGCTCTCATTTGACAGCCTTACTGAAGGTTACTGAAGATTTCAGTAATGCTATCAGAATGGAATTTGGTGTGGACAAATGTTCAATCATGCATGTAAAGCGTGGTCAGGTAGTGGAATCCGCGGATATACAACTGTCAGATTCAGTTCACCTTAGATCTCCCTCTGTAAACGAAACCTATAAATATTTAGGTATGTGACAGGCATTAGGCATTAACGATGCTGACTTGAAACAGTCATTACGCGAGCGTTTCTTGGGGCGCCTGTCAAAAGTTCTTAAAAGTCTTTTGTCGGGCGGAAACAAGGTTCGTGCATATAATGGCTGGATAATGCCGCTATTGATGTATTCCTTTGGCATACTTAAATGGACTCAAACTGAACTTGATGCCTTGGACAGAACAGTTCGTACATTGCTAACAGCACACCGTATGCATCACCCACGCTCCTCGACAATGAGATTGTATATCCCGCGGAAGTGTGGTGGTCGTGGCTTCCTAAATGCCAAGACATTACATAACCGCGAGATAAACAATTAAGGGAGTATTTTCTTAACGTCGATATGGGGATTCATAGAGATGTAGTTGCTGTTGACAATGCTCACTCCTGTATTTTTACACGACATGTGGGACATCGATTCAGCAATTGTTGTGCCGATAGTCATATCTGCCCATGGTTTGATAGCCAAGAGCCTCGATAAACACCTTAAGAGGCTCGCGTTAGGTGGTTGGGTCAAGAGTCAGATGCAGAAGGCAGTACTTCTCGACACCGCCCGTATAGTGAGGAAGTTCCTGTCTCTGGATATTTGATGGATGGGGAACTGAATTTTTGTATTTTTAAATGTTATTATTTTTTAATGTTATACATTGTAAAAATAATAATATTTAGAAATATAATTGTGTATGGATATTATAAAAAATAAAAAAACAATGCAACAAACATTTGTTTAAACTATTAGATATGTTCAAAATGTTTATGAAACATTTTTAACCTACGATTTACGATAGATATGTTATTTAAGATAGTTGTAAAAGTGATATATGTGTGATATACATACTTGATTTATATGTGGCCTGACGATTTGCTTGGTCGGCGTGGATTTGATTGGCCGGAAATATTTTAACTAAATTATTATTATTAAATTTCCGTATTTTTTTCCGTCATCACGGATTTTGATCAATCTCATAGAATTTTGTGTGAAATATTATGTTCAACAAGAAAAAATCCGGCCGACCAATGATTTTTAGCCGGAAAGGTCACGCATACCTATTTGAATGGTGTGATAAGGGGTGAAATTTATCGATTATCACGGAAACCTTTTTTTGTTTTTTAATTTACGCGTTTTAATGTCACATTTATAATTATCTTGGTATGCGTGCTTACAAACTGCCGAAAGTATCGCACACACCAAAGGACATTGTTCAGCGTCCATACATAGTTAGCCTAAGAACCAACAATTAAGAAATATTATTTTCTAGGTTCAAAATCGTAAGTAAATGCCTGCAAAAACAAAGATTACTGACGGACACGTCTGAGAACTTAAATTATTAGGAAAACTAATTTTTTTTTGAGGTTATGTTTAATATCAATGAAACATAGGTCAACCTATGAATTTAGTATGAACTCCTATGAATTTAAAAAATCAAAAAACCCGACAAAAAATTGTAACATATGTATTGTTATAGCGACAAAAGAAATACAATATCGTCTGTGCAAATTTCCACTGTCTAGCTATCACGCTTCATGAGAGATAGCCTGGTGACAGACAGACAGACGGAAGTCTTACTTCCCCAGACAGGCGCTCCAATTGTAAGGGTAAACCCGCTATGCCCTAATAATATGTTAAAGTATATATCACTATTGGTTATTTGATATTCTACCTATCCCTACTATAAACTATCAACGGTTTACTTAAAGCCATTTTCAATTGATTATCATAAAACATTTACCCTTGCAATGTACACACATCAAAAGTGTCTAGGGATCAACATATATTTTTGCAATAACTTTTCTCCTGATTGATATTAATTAAAATTTTCTTTAAGGATTCATCAAATAAAGTGTTTTCGTTTGTCACAGTAACGATAAACCAAGTCACCTTTGCATTAATAAAGAAATTTGCCATTTTCCTAATAAAGGGATTTTTGACATTTGAACCACTAACACAAAAGTTCGAAAAAAAGACTGAAATAACAGTTTTCTCTAAAATTTTATTGGGTAACTTAAACAATTAATAATCCGTATTTCTACCGCGAACACTAACAACACAAGAACATCGGTTTGGCATACTCAAAATGAGTTCATCCAAATCACGCTGTGGAATGGCCGCCCATGTTCGTTGCAACAACAAAAAAAGGTCTTCTTGCGACTGGATACCCTCCATATTCGGCAGAGCTCTTCTCTGTAGCATATCCCATGCATGCTCAATCGGGTTCAAGTCTGGCGACTGAGCAGGCCAGGGCAGGACATTGATGTTAGCTGCGGCGAGAGTCTGTCTTACAACTCTTGCGGTGTGCGGTCGTGCATTATCATGCATTAACTGAAATAAGGGACCGATTTGCACTTGTAGAGGAACGATGACGTCTGATACAATCGTCTCAGCATAAATTTGAGCGTTGAGGTTGCCTCTGATCCAAATCAACTCAGTTCTTCCGCCGATCCAAATACCCGCCCATACCATGATGGTTCCACCACTATAAGGATGGACTTCCTGGCAGGATTTTAATCGCTGTTGGCGTCCAGGGGTTCTCCAGTGTCGTATACGTCTTGTATCCGGTCTCATACCAAAACGAGACTCATCAGAAAAGCACACGAAACGCCATTGTTCTTCTGCCCAATTTCTGTGTTCAAGAGCCCATTGATATCGAATCCTACGATTGTGCATTGCTATAGGTGGTACCCGTAGCGGTCTTCGGGAATGAAGGTTCACTTCATGCAAGCGGTTTCTGACTGTTTGGTCGCTAATTAAGTTCCCTGAAGAGTGATGAAGCCTCACGGCTAACATCATGGCGGTTATTGTTGGAGCTCTTCGAGTTAAGATTTGAATGTATCGGTCTTGTCTCCGTGTGGTGCAGCGATACCGTCCTCCATGGCGCTCAGCCACGGTACCAGTGCTTCGGTATCGTGTCCAAAGTCGACTGATAACACTCTGACTTGTATTCAGAGCTAAAGCCACAGTACGTTGCCGGGAACCAGCTTCTATCATTCCCACGGCTCTGAGCATTTCTTCCCTGCTTAAATGACGTCGCCGCTCCATAATAACGTTGGTTTTAATCAGTAGTAGGGAAACAGTAGCACTAATAATGTCTTCAATGCGTTGTATGTTTTTATAGGGAAAATATTGACAGCTGATTTTCATCTTTTACTCGAATTTGATTCACAGTTCTTGATTCAAATTATGAAATGCACCAAAAAGGATCCATATAAATTTATAAAATCATAAATTTATTACAAAGCCACATCTCAATCTCAAGAAATCCGCATAAAAATGCTTGATCCCTAGACACTTTTGATGTGTGTATTTAATTTATATTCAAGTCACAATTTTCACAGATTGTAGAAATAAGCGCTTAATTATAATATAATGATGGTTTTCCATCTTCACAATCATGTTTTATGGAAGAATCTTAAGCCAAGTGTAAAATGGAAAATTAACGATTCCTCTGATAAGTGCAAAAAACCTCGTATCTGACGGTGCCGCCGGCGCCACAGAAATAATAAATCACAAGTCGACCAGGAGTTTTTCCCCGGTTAGTCTGATACCTACTTAGTTTTTTTTTTTCATCGTTGTCAGATGCAATGTGGGCACTTTCGTTGAATATCCGTCCTTCTTTTGTGGCCGCAAAACCAGCGTTTTGCATAATTTTTAAAATTACCTTCAAAGTTATAAAAAGTCGGTGCTTCACTTTGCTATTCGTATAATGGCACGGTTATACTTGATCGTCAGTCCGAAAACGTTGCCAATGGAATTCGGGTAAACGACTAAGTCTAAATGAACGGAGTCGAGTACGCCCGTATTCGGGAAGGTTTCCATTTATTTACCCGTCACTGTCTTTCAGCCCAATATTCCAGTGTTAATATTGCTTCGGGTGTCTGAATTCGAGTGATGTCTTTCGTGCTTATGACCAAATGTAGCGGCATTATTGCTATTATTTTGTAAACTTGACATAAGTCTGTCCTTTACACTCCATAAAGAGCATGATAAAGACAGACTGTGGTCAAGTTTACAAACAACAAATACTAATAGCCAAGTGAAGTATCGGGATAAAATTCTAATGAAGTGTTGTTTTAAGAGAGATAGGCAACAATGGATTTTCCGCTGGAATTGGAACATTCGTCAGGGGAATGAATGAACGAACCTCCACCTTACAGAAAATCACAGTGAAATAACACTTATTTTTGATGGCATGGTGTTGTGTCAATTTGTAAATGTTTTCCGGTTTCGAGTACTTCACAGGGTGATGGAATGTAAATAAAGTAATCACTGTGATCGCTGGATCTCACTAGAAAAAATCTAAGAAATTGCAGATATAATTATTCTGTTGTTTAAAATACACTTTAAATTTATACCACTGGTCTCGTGGCCCTACAACTCATTCATTTTCACGCTCCCTTTCCTGATTAATGGCCTGCATTGGTAAACCCGAACGTTTCTACGTCGAATCCTCCTGGATGCCGTCTGTTTCGCTTCTTGTGTGGCCACGCCTTTTCATTGTATGAAGACCTTCTCCGTTCGCAACTCATCCTGCCATCCACAAAATTCTTTGTATCTCACAGCTGTACTCAAATACGTGCATATTAGAGCTGCCATTGCTTCGGATTTTCCCGGATTTCGACATAGTTTAATTTCGGAAAAGTTATGATTTTATTTATTTTTTAAGCATTTAACTGCTAGATGTTTAAAGCTAAAGAAAAGTTTACTAGAAAATAATCCACGCGGACCAGGCAGCGGAGGGGACTCGAACCCGCATCCTTCGCTATCCGGGCGAATGCACTGACCATTATGCTACCACGGCCCTATTAGCCGCGTCGAAATTTTCCTAGCCTTAAGCTGCAAGGCAGCGCCATCTCTTCGCATTGTAGGTAACCCACAATGTCAAATGAATACTTTTTCAAGTATTAAACATTTGAAAGAAGAAATAGCATTTATAGTTATGATTTCATTTATTTTTTAAGCATTTAACTGCTAGATGTTTAAAGCTAAAGAAAAGTTTACTAGAAAAAAATCCACGCGGACCAGGCAGCGGACGGGACTCGAACCCGCATCCTTCGCTATCCGGGCGAATGCACTGACCATTATGCTACCACGGCCCTATTAGCCGCGTCGAAATTTTCCTAGCCTTAAGCTGCAAGGCAGCGCCATCTCTTCGCATTGTAGGTAACCCACAATGTCAAATGAATACTTTTTCAAGTATTAAACATTTGAAAGAAGAAATAGCATTTATAGTTATGATTTCATTTATTTTTTAAGCATTTAACTGCTAGATGTTTAAAGCTAAAGAAAAGTTTACTAGAAAAAAATCCACGCGGACCAGGCAGCGGACGGGACTCGAACCCGCATCCTTCGCTATCCGGGCGAATGCACTGACCATTATGCTACCACGGCCCTATTAGCCGCGTCGAAATTTTCCTAGCCTTAAGCTGCAAGGCAGCGCCATCTCTTCGCATTGTAGGTAACCCACAATGTCAAATGAATACTTTTTCAAGTATTAAACATTTGAAAGAAGAAATAGCATTTATAGTTATGATTTCATTTATTTTTTAAGCATTTAACTGCTAGATGTTTAAAGCTAAAGAAAAGTTTACTAGAAAAAAATCCACGCGGACCAGGCAGCGGACGGGACTCGAACCCGCACCCTTCGCTATCCGGGCGAATGCACTGACCATTATGCTACCACGGCCCTATTAGCCGCGTCGAAATTTTCCCAGCCTTAAGCTGCAAGGCAGCGCCATCTCTTCGCATTGTAGGTAACCCACAATGTCAAATGAATACTTTTTCAAGTATTAAACATTTGAAAGAAGAAATAGCATTTATAGTTATGATTTTATTTATTTTTTAAGCATTTAACTGCTAGATGTTTAAAGCTAAAGAAAAGTTTACTAGAAAAAAATCCACGGGGACCAGGCAGCGGACGGGACTCGAACCCGCATCCTTCGCTATCCGGGCGAATGCACTGACCATTATGCTACCACGGCCCTATTAGCCGCGTCGAAATTTTCCTAGAAATGTGCGCCAAAGCCTGATTGAGTTGAATTAATGAAAATATTAATACATATTAATATTAACATAAAAAAAATCTCGCTGTCTATTAAAAAAAAACTTATTTTAAGAGCAAATTCTGATTCGTTCTCATCTATTAAAAATAAATGCCCCTTTTTCAAATTTAAATTTAGTGCAGATTGGCAAGTATATGATAACGATTGCGGTTGTAGCTGGAATCAACGGCTTAACGTGCCTTCCAAAGTAAGGAGATGCTAAAAATATATAATAAACTTGGTTTGCTGGAGCAGCAGAACAGTCAAACAATGAATTGTTGCTCTTATCCTGAAATGAATTATAATCATAGAACAAGATTTTGGGAACTGGCACGAACTTCCTTTGTTTATTTTAAAACATATAACATCATTGTTCATACATTGTGAGCAAATTGTTGCTATCATCCTGGGTTACTTTTGAATGTTTTTGACATAATATTAATATTTGTTTCTTAGGTTTTCACGCACACCACTCATTTAATATCAATCAAAACAGTGTAGATGCACTGATTTATTTATTTATTGACGTTTCAATTC